ATTCTAAATAAGGTCGTAGAAAGAGTAGGTCTGCCCCAATATGTTCAATGTGTTTCAAGCCTCATAGGGGGTTGTGTCATTGGCTTACTGGAGCATGTTTTAGATAGGGAGAAATAGAGCATCAAGTGAAGATATAGCGATCCCGGGTTTACCCTTGTTGTACAGTGATCCGGACATGTGTCCGTGGATGTTGGTTGTTGTTTATTATCGTGTTTGCATCCTTCGTACTTTGTATATTGAGTTATGGGATGTGTTGGGCAGGTTTGCTACAGGTTGGTTGCGTTTGGGAGCCTAGTGTTGCTGCCCAGATTTTTGGTCCTTCGCTCGAGCGAGGAGTTTGTCGCTCGAGCGAGAGTTGAGTTTGTGTCTGGTGGGTCGAGCCAGAGTGGCCTCGCTCGAGCGAGAGCTTGCACCTGGTTCTGGACCTGAGAGTTGTGTTTTCTGGCTCGAGCAAGCTTTTCTTGGCTCGAGCGGTCTGGTTTGTTCTTCGCTCGAGCGAGTAGTTGGTCGCTCGAGCGTGCTTCTGGTTGCAGACCTGAAGGGTCGAGTTGTTGGCTCGAGCGAGCATTCTTTGGCTCGAGCGCACTTTTGAGTTTTTGGCTCGAGCGAGAGTTCCTTGGCTCGAGCGAGAGTTTCTGTGTCTTGTCGCTCGAGCGACCAAGTCTTCGCTCGAGCGAGAGTGTGTTATATCAGCGGACAGTAGCGATTTTAAACATCACTTTTCCACCTCTTCCTTTTCTAAAAACCGAGATCCGTGACTCTCTCTCTCTAAACTTACACTCTCTCTAAAATTTGATCTCCCTAGGGTGTGAATCTAGCCTAGAGCCTTTGTTAAAAAGATAGAGGGCGTTGAGAGCTTCGTTTTAATCTGAAAAAGTTTGGATTTGGAGCAAGTTGATCTTCGAGTCTTCATCTCCTTTTTGGGCTAAAACTTCAAGGTAGGGATATCCTACTCCTCTCTATGGGTTTTGTCTTTAAATTTTGGTATTTTGAGATGTTGGGCTTGGTTTGGTAATTTTGCGAAAGTTTGGGGCTTTTGTGTAATTTTACAAAAGTTGGGGTTTTTATTCATAATAAACCTAGATGCATGTTTGGCATAGAAAAATGGATGATTGTTGAATCATTGATGAAAATGGAACCTAAAGGGTTGAAATAGTAATTATGGAAAATGGCCTAATTACATTGTTTAATTAATTGGGATAATTAATTGGTGAGAAATGAGGAAATGAAATGTTGATTGAACATCCATTTGTGCATTTATTTTCTGTTTTAGAAATAACTGCTTTGGGCTATCGGTGGAGGATAGTCGAGATTGTTGTAGACAATGCATGATGATTAGGTAAACGGAACTAATCAATGGAATGTGTCATGGAACTTGACGGTTGATAGAATACATTAATTGTGTGTATTGTGTGATTGTATATAGAACCAATGTGTTTATATACGTTATGTGTAGAGGAGGAGATAGGGGATGTACTCCGCGGTTTAGGGGAAGATAGGGGATGTACCTCTAAACGGCAGATAGGTATTGGGAGGAGATATGGGATGAACTCTGTAGACAGAGCTCATATGCTTGTCTAGAGAAGTGAAGATAGAGCTCATATGCTTATCTTGTGAAGTTGTGGATACAGCTTGTATGCTTATCTGTGGATGTTGTTGATATACATATCTGTTGTAGAATGTGGATACAGCTTGTATGCTTATCTGTGGATATTGTTGATATACATATCTGTTGAGAATGTGGATATAGCTTTTATGCTTATCTGAATGTGAGATATAGTTTTTATACATATCTGTGGAAAATGATGATAGAGCTAGCATGCTTATCTGTTGAAAAAGGGAAATGAAAAGTAATTGGGACTTGTAAGTCGTTGACATAAATATGTAATTTATGTGATTGTATCAGTGTTGACCAACTAATCAAATTGCTAATGTTTTAGTCATTGTCCATGGTTGGTTTAGTGTATTTCTACTGGGCTGTGGCTCACCCTATGTGGGAATATCATTTTCAGGTACAGGTAGCATGCCACCTCCAAGGACATAGCTTGGGAGGCTAGAGGCGGACATACTTTTGTCGCTTAACTTTTGATGTATTACATGTAACTTCAAGCCAAGGGCTTAATGTGTAAACGAGTTAGTACTCTTTTGTTGTAACCAAGTGTTAACTTGGAAAGCTGTAAGCCCGTAGGGCATTTGGTTTTGATGTTAACATGTAATACTTATGTAATGAAACTCAATGAAATAAAGAAATGCGGTTAGTTATATGTAAATGCATGCCTTATCCGATGGGTTTATTGTTATTATTTTGAGGGCGTTACAGAAGAATTGTCCAAAGACTTAAGGATATCTCAAGTTATTCAATCACTTTAAAGGTTAGTACTTAATAAAGAGATCAATGGTTAGTACTAATGAAGAGATCAATGGGAACATGTTAAGTACATGCAAGAAGTCTTAAGTTAGAAATTGAATATATATGTCTTCATTTGTATTTGTCTTAATAGATTTTTGATAAATTCAGGATCCATTTACTTGGCCATTTGAAACGTGACCCGAAATTGCTAGAATTGGTACTATATGACTAAGATTTAAACCAATGAAACTAAGCCTATTTAATGTTAGAATGAGAACAATTTAATTTATTAAGACCACATTGTCAACATTTTGACCTCTCAAAAAGGAAGACATGGTATTTTTCGTATATGAACGATTATCAGACGCAAAATGATAATTGAGGCTTTTGCTTTTGTTTATGTTTTGTCAAGTATATTAAGTCTGATTATCTCATGTACTTTTGTGGACATGTTTGTGTAAGATAAGAGTTATACACCACTTTGGTAGGATTACACTCGTATCACACCCTTTTTGAAATGTGGAAATCTCAATTGACTAAATACAAAATAGAAGTTTAGCCTCAAGACTAATTTAATAATAGTTTTATTGTCATTTGATAATTGAAAAGAGTTATGTACATATAAGAATTTGAATATCGATTTGCTCAATTAGAAACGATAATGTGGATTATTTAAGAATGGCATCAACAACTAAAAGGAGGGAAGGTTGATGATGAAAGTATGAATTAGTTTCAACAATCATTTGGTATAAGAAAGATTGTCAAAATAGTAAATTTTGATTTAACAAAAGTATACTAGCTCATAAAATTGTAATTAGGACAAAGGAATCAGACATTGTGAAAGATTTGAAATTGAAAGCAAAGATCCAACCAAAGATTAAGAAAGAAAAATTAAAGAAGGAAGTTTGAGATGTAAGGCGAAGATCATGGTCAAGACCCAAAAAGAATAGTAGGAAATAATTATATTAGAGTGCGCAACGGAAACAAAAAGAACAGTACCATAAATCAATTTCGAGGATGAAATTTTAAAATGAAGGCAGACGCAGAAGATCACCAAGGTTGACTGGTTCAAGTCGCGTTAGTGGAGCTTCTACAAATCAACAACAAAGTCACATAATCCTAGATGAATGGTTTTAAAGTTTTAGAATAACAAAAAAGGGCCCCATACTCTTATTTCTTCACCCTTATTCAATTCTATCTCTTTCTCCTTGCAAATAAAATATTATTTATTTTCTAATTTTGAATTGCTAGTGGATTACTTCAATTTGAGGTCAAAATCTTTCCTAGCAACTTTTGAGCCCGTCCAAGAATTTAGAATAACAAAAAAGGGACCCATACTCACATATACGACATAATTGTTACCTTCGTCTACCTCATGATCATATATCGGCTTTGGTAACACCAAAATTTAAAAAAACTTCACTGAGACTCACCTCGATACTCGCCTCGCCCTGAGGCTAAGGTAAAAACGCATCAAGGCTTTGATTTTAGGCTATACTCCCTAAAAGCTTGTGCATGACAGTCTAAGGCACGCGCTGTAGGTGCACCTTTTGCATAAGCATATGAGTCGTATATGCATATGAAGAGGCTGCCTTAGGCTCTTATTAAACTTAGTCTAGAAGATGGTTTAAATATAAAAAACAAAAAATAAGAAAGAATCCTTCTTGCAACTATGTTCTATAGAAAAAATTAAGTAAATGACCAATCAAGAAAAAACACAAAGTTAATGTTCAAGTGAGAGGCCCAATTACTGAAGTTAAGAATATCAATTTCACTTTCAAAGAAGGCAAGCTTCATTCTTTGCACTGAAATATTCAACGCGTTAAGGAAAAAAGTATTTACAGCCTCATATTTAATTTTTACTATTTTAAAATATTTAATTTATTTACTAAATATTATCATTTAAAATTTGAAACTCCTACACCTCGATGCCTTAAAACTTACGCCTCACCTCATGAGTGGTAAAACACCTCAAGTTATGCATTCATCTCTAAAAACTTTAGGTAACACTACTCTACAAGATCAAGGACATAAGGGAGATCACTTTAAATTTAATGATGTGAAGATTATCATGATAATATGACAATCTTTATCAAACCTTCAGTTGCAAAATTCAAACAGACAACTTCTCCAACAAGAGGCAATTAATGCAACTTGGTATGACAAGCATTCAACCTGGAATAGATTAAACTTCATGTGAACTAAAAGAAGACAACATAGCCTTTAAACTTGATGCTTAGCACCTAAGATTGCTGAAAGCATTTTATTTATGAAAGTTCCTAGTGTCAAATGTATCTATATTTTGTATTGTTGTGCCTTTCCATTTTTTCAGTAAAGTGTTGAGGCTTCAAGTAAATGGGGATCCTAATTTGTCAACATAATTAATAGAAAAAGTTCTAAAAAGTTCCTGGTTACTTTCTCAGCCGCAGAAAAGCTATGAATAGGCCTCACCAAAACAAAATAAGATCAATCCCCGATAAATAAATTCAAGTTGAAAGAATCAAAAGGGATTTTTCACTTGGCCTATTATTCAAGACATATACTAAAATTCTAAAACTTAAGCATTAACAAATTGGAGGGTATAAGCTGTTCTTCTGAAAAAAACAACATGTACATAAACAACGTTGTATATTTTCCAAACCTCCCATACCTCAAGATGCTGTGCAGCTTCACCAGTCAAAGCAACAGTGGCTGTAGCCAGTCCAATCAATCCTCCCTTAAAATAAATAGAAATCAAGATTCAAAATAAATACCAAAACCATGGAAATTCAAATATACACACCCTTGAAAGGCATGTACCATATACACCCTTAGATATGCCATTTTTGTGTTAAAAGTTATTCATTGTGACATTATTTTAGTTATAACTCATAAGTTCTTTGGTTATGACATATTTTTTTAAGATAGGACTCAGAAAGTATCTTGCATATGCTACACACCCTTTCAGGGGTGGCTACCATAGTGTTTCCCCAAAACCACAGAACACCACTATATATATATATATAGTAAAACCCTAGTTTTCAAACCTGGCTACTTACTTTCCGGTGATTCACCTGTGCCGAGTACGTGAACTCATTGGCCAACAAATTTATCACGGCCGTAATCTTATCATGCTCTCCCGCCGCCGCTAGCTGCTTCACGATTCCTTCAATCTGCACAATCATCAAACATTCATTCACCCAAAATCAAACCACCAAAAACCTTAGAACGATGATCAACTCAAAAATTGAGACACAAAAGAGATAGAAAATTCTAGTGAGTGCAAAAAGAGTACTTCAAGAGCAGCATTCTTCCGCTTCTCGTAGAGTTTGTCGGAGAGGTTTCGGAGAACGGCAGGAGGAATCACAGAAAGCGCGTCGGCCATAAAATAAAAAACCCTAGAATCGTTTCAATCGATTGAAAATAGAAATCAAAGTTGTCGTTGTTTTCTGATCTTCTCTTGCTGTATTTATACAGCAGGTCACAAGGCACATCACTTAATTAAGAGCGCTGTTATTAATACTTATTAAATTTTTTTGGGTCACCTATATATTTGAATCCTAGCCCTAAATCTTAAATTTTAATAATATTTTTTTTGACACTTCACTTATTATCAAATCTATCTATATTTATAATATTTTCATAATCAAACACATACCTACTTAATTTTTCATACCTCTCCTTTCCTGACCATCAATCTATTGTATTCATCTTCTTCACACCGATTAAATCCATTTTGCTGCTGAAGTGCTTGGGACATTACTTTACCCTCTCTTTTTTTTTTTTCCTTGCAAGTGCTTCAACACTTTAGAGTCAAGTGCTGATGCAATTTTTTGAAAATTCAACACTTTTGAATCATAACCACACAAAGGTACGATTTACTTCTTTTTCTTACAAGTGCTGTAAACTTTTTCATCTACCATCAAAGGTATAATTTACTTCTCTTTTCTCTTCAATTAATCATAACCATACAAACAAAAAACCCTTTACCAACCAAAACCACAACCACACAAAACCCTAATTGTGAGAGAATATTATAATGTAATGGATGGCCCGATTCCACATAAAATTCAATTTTTTTGAGAATAGAGGTTTGAATATTATAATCTAATGGATGGCTTGAATATTATAATGTAATAGAAGTTTACATACCAACTAGAAATAAAATTAAAAATATATATATATATATATTAGAACCCTTTGTCTTGTAGAAAATATGTTTGGCTGATCCTTTGTCTTGGAGTGTTAGGTATTTTGATTGTGTTTTCTTTGTGCATAAAGAAAACAAAATTTGTTTGGCTGATCCTTTGTCTTGGAGTGTTGGGACCAGTTGCTTTTTTAAGTGTGAGGTTTTTATGTCTGTACTGCACATATAGTATAAAATTGTCCCTTTTCTGTTGCTGTAAGGCATTGTCATTGCCATTGGTTTTGTCCCTTTTATGTCTGCATCGCACATATAGTATAAAACTTAAATCTGAATTTTCTGCACACAAAAAAAAAAGGGAGGGGGGAAAGAGGAGGCAAACAGGGCAACAACTAGCCAGATTATTTAATTTACATTTTTAGCTTCTTTTCCATGTATTTTCATACATCAAGTTATGGCCACATTATCACACAACACTTGTACTAGTTGTCTTCCACATAAACTAACTCTAATTAGCACAATACACATCATAAACCTAACAAGAGGTAGGTGGGCTGTTTGAAAACAGTGCTAATTTTAGCACGTTATATCAACTTGGAGATGCATGTGATTATATTGCAACTATAGGCTTTGGGCCAATGTTGAATTTTCTTTAAGTATTTATAATCAACCCAAAATGTTCTAAGAAGCAAAACACACGGCTTTTGCTATGTACTAAGCCTTTTTTGTTTTTAATACCAAATTCCATTGTTTACGCTCTCAAATTTTTGCATATTTTTGGAAAGTTTTGTTTTTGTCTATAATTTTATTTAGGATTTTTTTTTTTTTGATGGCCTTGCTCTTGGCATGCTTCTAATGCATTACAATTCTCAAATTTTGGTCCAACTCAAATATCTTATTTTTAGTAGCTTTTTTTTTTATCATTTATTCATTTTGTGTTTGGTAAGAAACTATCTTAGTTTGTTGTTTCCTATTTGAATTGGTCACGACACACCTATTTAAAATAGGCTTCAATGGCTTATAAGTTATATATATAATGTCCCTAGATGACATGCAATTTCGATACATAGGAAGGACTAAATATATTATTAAGGGTAATTGACATTTGATATATTTGCTTACATTGTCATTGACTAACATCTAATTGTACTTGGTGGGTGGAAACTGCTCGAGATCGCCCAACAGCGTCTAGGAGACATAATGTTGTACTTTCTCAAAAAGTGGCTAAAAGACTCGACGCACTCGTAAGACTAAGGATCAAGGTAGTGGAGTTAATGAACATGACATGAATGACATAGGTGCTGCTCTAACAAACACGGTTGAGGTTGAAAACGATGGGGGCAATCGATTGAATGTGAGTGACATGGGTGATGATTTGGGTGATGAACCAATAGATATGGGTTATGAACCAACATACATGGGTGACTATGAAGACCAACCAGCAGATGCAACTGAAAAAGTTAATGAAGATCTTACTGGACCTTTTCCTGGAGGGCCATATGACCCTTCAATTTTGAAGAGTTTTCATTGTCACGTAACAGCCAAAATTTGGCATAATGATGTAAATCATAGTCTGACATTAATTTAATGTTTTAAATTTTGTTTCAACTTTACTAATTCTTTTTTTTTTCTTTTTTTTATTCTATGTTGCAGGAACGTGGAATACGTAAATGCTTAAATCATGGTTTTAAAGTTAGTGAATGGTCATTCAACTTGGAAGAGAATAAATAGTCCAAATTTCATGGTTTAATTATGGATTCGGGGTTGATTTCTTTAGTGAGTTGCTCATATAAATTTGTAAATAAAGTTATAGTTTCGACCTTTGTAGAAAGATGGCAGCCAGAGACAAACACGTTTCATTTACCATTTGGTAAGATGTCACCAACCTTAGATGATGTTAGTGTAATTTTAGGGATTCTAGTGATTGGTAAACCAGTCTCTTGCAAGAACTTATCAAATGTTGACGCTACAAATCTGCTAGTTGAGGCTTTGGAAGTAACAATAGATGAGGCAAATGTAGCGTTGAAGGTAGCACGGGGCCAGTCTATCAAGGTAGAATGGTTGAGACAACGGTTTGGGTCAGTGTCTGATGCGGACAATGATAATATCATTGAGTGTACAACTAGGGCATGTTTGTTGTATTTGTTAGGTTGTACCTTATTTGCAGACAAGACAGGCATACGTGTTTCGGTAGTGTATTTGTCTTTTCTTATGGATTTGCAATCAGTTGCTTCTTATGCTTGGGGTGCAGCCGCATTAGCTCTTTTATACCGGCAATTGGGCACTGCCACAAGGTATGCTATAAAACAGATGGCGGGATACATGACATTGCTAGAAGCTTGGATTTACAAGCATTTTGTTGGTGCTAGACCCCACCCCAATTTGGACTATAAAGAAGATCAACCTTGTGTCTTTCTTTGGATTTCTCGTACCTAATCTGGTTCGTCAACGTCTATTTTACAAAGGTTGCGAGAAGACCTCGACAGATTAGAAGCCCATGACGTAAGTCTCAATCTTATGTCAATGTATGTACATATTACTTGTTATTATTCAATCTAATTCATAACTTACATATAAAATTTTTACTATTGTAGGTTATTTGGGATCCATACCATGATAAGCATATTAAGCATCCTTTTCTGATGTTGCTTACTATAATGGATGCTTAAAATGGATGCACATTGTTGAACCATACCATCCAGATAGGGTACTAAGACAGTTTGGTAGGGTGCAAATTATTCCCTCAACTCCGCTTGCTCAAGTTCGAGCCTCTAGAGGATCCATTGCAAAATAGTACAGCATTGCCTATATATACTTGGATATGATTTGGGAGAGTTGGGAAAATCACTTGTTGTCTGAGACAGTGCGTAGTGTTCTAGCTTTGCATCCATGGGGTTGTATGCCAGGTTACTTGGACTGGTTTACTTCCATTTCACACGTACAAGTTCAAAACCCGACACATCGTTCTAAGTATAATCCATGCTTTGAGGCATCAGCTGATTATCGTCAACTTCAATTCGTATGTCAACTTTTACCATTTTCATTTTTGTATATATTTTGTTTAAGGTAATCGTTAAGTTTTATTTTATTGTTTGCAGCGCATTGATAGTGCCTTGAGCATTTCATGTTCAATGCTCGAAATCGGATACAATGAAGCAGCTCCAACCTGAGATATGTTACGCAATGCTATGAAGAAGATAACACAAGTCTTGGAGGGCCAACAATCCACTGAAGAACATACACCATCAGAGAACTTGGTGTACACTCGTCGCAGGAATCGTGGAGCAACGTCTTAGACTTTAGTAGTTGTTGGGTTCAAATGTTTTAAATGTGTATTTTGAAATCTTAGTCTCAAACATTTGTTAGACTTTTTGATGGTGTTAGACACAAGTATAACAAAGGTCAGATGACACTTTAGTATATGTTAGTTTGTCTGAGAAAATTTTTTGGCATACATTTTGATGGTGGTTTGTATATGACACAAGTATGAGCTAGGCTTGTATATGACGTTACTATACCTTTTTTGGGCACTCAATGAATTATTTTGATGGTTTGGAATTGGTTTGATGGTTTGAATTGGTTTGATGGTTTGGAATTAGTTTGATAGTTTGAATTGGTTTGATAGTTTGTTTGTTTGAAATATTGGTTTGTTTATTGCTTTATGGTCATCGTTGAATAAACAAATCTAGACTAATGAATAAACATGAATTTTATGTTCATCACTGACTAGTCGAACAAATTCTCCTCGTTCAGCACTATAAAATCGAATCAAAATGACTCACTCAGCACTGTAATGCCAAACAGGTAGTCTTTGTTTAGCACTGTAATGCCGAACATATATAATTTTTTTAGTACTGTAATGTCGAACATAAATGCTTGCTGGCCCAATCACAATTGCTGGCCTACTCATTTCAGCAATGCGGAACCGAATAAAAAACAATTCGTTCAGCACTGTATAGCTGAACAAATATATTTTTCTTCAGAACTGTTTTGTCAAACAATAGTGATCCAGTCAACACTGTATGTCCGAACAAAATTTGTTCACCACGGTGTAACTTGAATCCATTCCAATTCACTTTTTTCATCAACTTCCATTCAGTACAACACAGAAAATAACATTCATTTCAATTCACTGTTTACCATTCCAATTCATTAGAACAAAGAAAATTACATGAATGAAATCCATTCAAAATACATAAACTTAAATCCATTCCAATTCACTCTTTTCCATTCTAAGCTAGTTTAACAAAGAAAATTACATAACTTAAATCTATTCTAATTCTATTTCCTAACTCACTCGTATGACACTAGTCCTTATCCAGGTCTATTGTTTCGATTGTGGCTACGTCTAGATTGATGAGTGATTTGAAATGTTGTACTCTGGAACTATATGCAACCTTCCAGCCTACTGCACAAGGATCATGGTACCTCCACCAGTTAGTTGCTATGGGTGGAATAGGATGACCAAGCTCCAAAATGAGTTACCAAAAAAATATATATATATTAGAATGTACAAAAATGTTGTCATTATTAAGAAATTTGTCGTTATAATGTACAAGAATGTACAAAAAAATTAGAAACTAATACTTGAACAAAATGATTGTTGTTGACAAAGCCAATACATATCTCCTTGTGAGAGGCAACAGATGTCGGTATTGACCTAAATGGGAGGAATGTCAAACATTGTTGCATAGACAAGTGGACCAAAACGACTTGGTAGAAAGACGATATAAGATGACTCATGTCAGGCATCGTCATCCACTGGTCCAACCCAGGGTTTGGTTCAAAATATGCCAAGATGTTAGTAAGGTCATCGATTCTCCGTTGTGATCCAAATAATTTCCTATAGTGGTCACTATGCGCATGCAACTCTTTAAGTAAATCTTTTCTCACTTGTAACCATCCTTCTTCTCCAACACCCATCAAACCAGCAATAGCTCGGAACCTACAATTGCCATCTGCTGCAATATCCTTACTGTATTTAATATATCGTCTCAATTCAGAAGGAAATGCCTCTAAAAAGCAATTTGGATTCAATGATCAAAGCTGGTGAATCTATCACATGCCAATGCCAATGTTAGACAATAAAGTAGACAACATGACACAATTATATACTTGACTAGTAAACCATGTACCTTTTCTATCTTCTTTGTTTTCACTTTTTTTGTTGTTACACTCAACTTGGCAATGACTCTGGGTGAATAACTATCTTGTGCTGAAGCAACTATTTCAAACGCAGATGGCTCGCGACGAGTAGAGGTCTCAATCTTCAATTTTGGCTGACCCCGTGGATTAGACTTCACTTCCGGCTCAATAAAAAATGTACAATCAGGTTTGGCTAACTCTCTCAATTTCTGTAACAAAAACCTCTTCACATCTGGACCCACCTCCTCGAATCGTTTAGGAAACAATTCTAACTCAGGTGTACATCAAAAATATCAGAAGATATGGAAGATATTATAATATATGGAGATCCCATGATTTGTACTTATTATGATTTTTTGTATCTCTGATTTATTTTAATTCCTTAATTGAAGGGATTTGATTATATCTCCCACTCTATACATATGGTGCATCATATAAAGAAGAGTATGAAGTTGAGTGAATGAAAGATGTAGCCCATAGGGCTTTGTGTATGTGGATGTAGGCCAATATTGACTAAACCACATTAAACCTTTGGGTTCTTTCTTTTCTCTTTTCTATTTCTCTCTATATTCAACCTTATTGCCTTATTACAGAATTCAACTAACTCTGGCGGCACCTTGCTTGTACAGCCTTGAGCCGGGTATGCTGGTCTTGCCTAAATAGCTCTATTTCAAATTGTTTTCAACTACGAAGTGCATAGGACTAAGTACGGGTCATCCTAGGTCAAATTGTGACATAAAATGCTTGTATCCTATACTAATGTAGTATGCTCATGCAGCTATACATGAGATTAAATTTCAAACACTCTTTGCATTGTCTTTAAAGATATTCATTCTTGAATATGTGACACATGTTTTGTCCATGAAAATTGCCAATACACAAAATCTTAACACCTTCATTTTAGTTTCACGTTCATTACTGAAATTAGCAGCCATTTGATGCAGAGGAAAAGAAAATCCCTACAAAGAAACAATCATTAGATTTTTTTTTTCACTGTGGTAATATAGGCATCTTGCTTATTCAAATTCAAAAGCTTTTCAATATTAAAGTAATTTGCTTTACTTTTTCTACTAAACAACGTAATTATGTCCTTGTGTAAGAATTATTGTATAACATGTGCCAAAATCAAGTTATTTTATATTCTTTCATATGTATGATTGTTTAACATTATTTTTTTTATAGTTTTTACTAATTCTTATGATTCCTAATTCTATTCTTGATTCACAAAATTAGAATTTTGATTTGCAATACAAATGTTGATTTACTATGTTTGTTGGAACATCCACAACCCAAAACAGATGGAACATGTTGGTGTAGGAAGGAGAATGTACCAGAACTAAACACAAACTTGTTTGTACATTTCTTGCTTGAACTATAGGTTTTGGATCATGCCAGTCAATGTAGGCCAGGATTGATAACTATGTAGAGCATTTGGAATGGAAACAGGCCGGTCATAAAAACTTTACTCAACTTGTGTTGTGCACTCATCATATTCCTGTTTAATATCGCAATAGTGATGATTCATGCAGCTTTATCCAAATCTTCAGCACATTTATTTGCCAAATTCAATTGTAACCGAGAAGTGGTAATGACTTGAAGTAGCAGATTTAAAAGTTTGAAGCTTCACATCATAACTTAAGGTCATAGTATGCAAGTGAAATGTCATTGTGGTTATTCTTTCCATTGGTTTTTGTCTTTTCTTTCTATGTTTATATTCATGTTAAATCTTTTACTTCTTACTTATTGATAAATAAACAAACAAAGAAAATAAAATATTTGCCTCTCATCTACCATTTATTTTCCCCCGTTCTTCTCCCACTTGATTGCTGATATTGATATCTTTCAAATTTGTCCCATACTCTGGTGGTGATATTCTTGAAGGTTGTTTTGTTTGCTTTAAATTTTGTTATTGTTTACTAACTTAAAGCTCACTTTTCTTGGAATTTGCTTAAAATTAGTGTTGCTACTTTGTAAAACAAAAATTGACTCGTACATTCATTTCTTTAATTTTTGGTCCTTTTCAGAAACCTAAGAAAGTGATCTACACAACCATTTCCTTGTGGCTTGGTGTCTCCCTTGCAATTGAAGTATTGTGAGATGGTTTTGATTCAGCAAATTTGCTAAATACGTGTGATAGTATTGCAGATAACCAAGAAGAAGCCATATGATGGCCTCTGCTGCTATTATTGGACTCAGTGCAGGAAATAGGCTATTTAGTTCCTTCTATTATTCTGATCTCACAGAAAAGCTGTCATGTGGTTACGATTACGGATCAACTTACCATCAGGCTGCTACAACAGAGAATGTTATCACAGCAAATAAGTCCTCCAATAATAGCACTAGTTTTTTGTCCAACCAATACACACGGTCCTTAAAAGCTCAAAAAGAACATGTGAATACTGCTTCTGAACCTTTAATTGCTGAGGTGTGGCTTCAAAGATTGAACCACTTGGAGGAGGACAGATCTCATTCGGAATTTTCAGTGGAGGCTCTTCTCTTGTTACAGAAGTCAATGCTGGAAAAG